ACCCCGGGGCGCCACCGCCCGCCGCATGCCCCACGCCAAGCGGGCCTGGCTCACCAGGGCCCCTTCACTTGTGGGCTTTCCACACCAGCCAACGTGCTGGTTCCTGGTCGTAGTCAACACGCCCGCAGTCCCCACTCCGTGAGCCCTGAATCAAGTGCCACAAACAAGCTGGGCACAGTCCACTAAAGAAGGAAATGACCTCAGCCCGCAACAGGGACGCTGGGAAACCCAAGGGAGACGCTGCTGTGGTTCAGGGTACACGCTGGAGAAAGAGCATAAAGAACTGCAGGCACGGCGGCGACTCCTGGCATGTGATCACTCCCGTGCATAAAAAAATCCAGGCCCTTTCAAGTTTTAAGGTCTTTATGAATTGCCTTGCACTAAAAAAGGAAACATGAATTCATACATTCTGCTCCTTTCATCCTATTTTCGGATTCTTCTTGCAGAGTTCCCTTGGGCCAGACAGTAATTATGGCCTTTTGTTACGAAAATAGAGATTAGACTGCAGTCACCTCAGGCCTCCTTCAGTGGGGCTGGGGACCGTCCGCCATCCAGAAACAACACAGACAAATGCAGAGGTGAGGCTTCACACTGACGGCCCAGACACACTGGTCCAGAGTTCTTAAAATGGTCTTGACCAGACTATCATTTCCTAAAATACCAAGGACTGAGTCTCACGGAACACTTAGGAAACAGTGACAGAAACCCACAGAAGTGTCAGGCATGGTGGCGCACACCTGTAAACCCAGCACTCAGGAGGCTGAGGCAGGAGCATCGCTGTGTGTTTGAGGCCAGCCTGGGCTACATAGTGAGACCCTGTCTCAAGAAAAAGAAAAAAATATGCTTCTTGATTAAAAGTGTACGTTATTGTTTTGGTTTAAATATCTGGGAAGCTGAAGGAGTAAGACTCACTGAAGCCAGAGTACCACTAATGCCAAGGTCCTGGCCAAAAGTGTTAACTTCACGAACTAGCAATGAAGCCCTCCAAAGAGGAAGTCACCCAGTCCACGGTGCACTATTCGAGAGAGCAGGTTACAGGAAGACTGTGGAGAAACCTCAGGAAGCAAGATGGCTGCAAAAGGCCCTCAGGACTTTGTCTATAGCCCTGCCCTCTGGGAGGCTGAGGCAGGAGGACTCCAAGTTCTCGCCCAACCCAGGTAACTCTGTAAAAGTGCTCCATCCAATTTCCAGCACCACCCATCCCCCCAAAAAGTAAAAGAAAAAGCTCCTGTGGTCAGGCAAACAACCTGCAAATCCTGACCATGCACCAGAGCTGGGCCGTAAGGAGGTTGGCCCACATGGGGCGTGGGGCAGGGCAGCCGAAGAGGATGCTCTGTGAGGTTGCCGGGCAAATGTGGGGACCACAGAAGACTCTGCTCCTCGCAGCAGAGCAGGTGTCACAGTCAGGACACCTGGGCCGCCAGGCGTGTTGGGCATCGTGGGTGGCTGGGGACCGGGCAGCTGGAGTAGCACCACGGCCCCTGCTCTGTGGCCCTGACAGTGACCGCTGGGCCCTCCTTTTGGGGAGCGGCTGCCTGTGGCCCACTCACCTTGCACAGCACCAGCCCCAGTGTAGAGCAGGTGTCACAGTCAGGACACCTGGGCCGCCAGGCGTGTTGGGCATCGTGGGTGGCTGGGGACCGGGCAGCTGGAGTAGCACCACGGCCCCTGCTCTGTGGCCCTGACAGTGACCGCTGGGCCCTCCTTTTGGGGAGCGGCTGCCTGTGGCCCACTCACCTTGCACAGCACCAGCCCCAGTGCAGGACATACTGCCCCCCGCCTCTCCTGGCCATGGGCAGAGAGGTTTAGCGGATGACACGGCCGGGTAGGGACAAGCTGCCCAGGTCCCTGTGTTCCCTCGTGCAGCAGCCCCGAAGCCCCAGTGGGCGGGGGGAGGCGGGAGCCGCGCAGACTCACCGAGCCGTTGACGCAGGGGACATCGTCGTAGTGCAGCGCTGTGCCGCTGGGGTGCGAGTAGCCATTGGTGGTGCTCCCCAGGTAGGGGCTGGTGGACACCCCGCGCCGGTTCAGGAAGCTGGGGGCGAGAGAGGGGAGTCAAGGCCAGCGGCGGCTCTCCTTTGGCCACTGGTGTGTCCTAGGGAGATGGGTCTGGGGGCGGAAGCGCGGGCCCACCCCCCAGGCCCACCCCCGAGACACAGCGACTCCTGCCAGAGTGAGGACCTCTTTCGCTGTCCGACAGGTGCCCACATGGGCTGCACTGGGAGGCAGTGTGGTATCAGGGCGGGTGGGCATGCGCTGGAGCTGCCAGGAGGGGCACGCTGGGCAGGTGCCCACCTGCTCAGTCAGTGCCCGGTCTCATGAGTGCCACTGCACAGGGGAAGCCTGGATCGCGAGCGACCCTGAGCCCTGCCTGCACTGTCCTGGTGTCAGCACGGAGTTCACCAGAGGAGGCTGGGGCAGGAAGGCCCCACACCTGGCACATAGGTGAGGGCGGGACGCCACATGTTCCGAGAAGAGGCAGGTGTGTGGGAGGGAGAGGGCCACCCTCTTCTTGGACTCCGCAGCCCTCGCTGCCAGGTCTGTGCAGGGGCTGCCGCAGCTCCGCCCGCTGCACCACTGTCGTGGTTGAGCGTGTGTGTGCACGTGCGTGTGCACCGTCCGCCTCCCCACTTCAGCGCCCACTTCGGGTACCCGGCTCTGTCCCTCAGGCCGCCCATCACGGTGCAGCATGAATGTGCTGGGCGAGAACCAGGGCCGGCTCTGCAGAGAGCGATGCCGTCCCCGGAGAAAGGTAGAAGCCTGCAAGAGACTCGGCGCGTGGGGTCCAGGTGGGGGCCTAAAATCGCCTGGTTTTTTAAAGGATCCCGCCCCTGTTTTGTCTCTTCTCAGGCTCCTGCATTTCTAAGGCCACCAGAAGAATAAAAGAGTGAAAAACAGAAAGGGAAACAGGAGAGCGAACTCCACCGGGCTGAGAGGAGAGGACCCCAGAGGGGGTTCCTGCCAAGGCGGCTCCCTGGCTCCTGGAGCGCCACGCCCTCTGCTGGCCGAGGCTGCTCCGTCCCTCGCACACCTGGGCATTCATTCTGGAGTCGTCCTCCGCCGGCGGGAAGTGACCTGTGCATTCCACACTTACAGCACAGACCAGCGAATGCAGGGAAGGAAGATGTGCGGAGGAAAAGAGCGCAGGTGAAAGACAGCAAAGAGCTCGCGGTGAGGAAGCCTGGGACTTTCAAGTGTGTGCTCCTGGCTTTCTGACTGAGGTGTCTCCCTGAGGCGAGGCCGGGACAGCTGCGTCACGCGCGGAGAGGGACGAAGCCATGCACAGGGACATAGGGCCGGCCGAGAGCACCGCACACTCGGACACACGCATGTGTGCACGTCTTTCCCTCCTCACACCAGCAACAGTCCTGGACCTCACGGAGGCACCCGAGTCCAAAGCCAGGACAGGACCAGAGGTACCCTCAGAGGGGCTCACGGGCTCTCAACGAACAGGACACATGCAGAGTGTGGCCAGTGCGCCCCAACAGGGACAGCAGAGCCCCTCTACGGCCAGGAAGGTTCGGGGTGCCAAGCAGCACAGGGCCTGTGGTCTTCACCCTGCTGCTCTCCACAGAGCAAGGTGAACAGAGAACCCAGGGTCACGAGAGAGCGACCGGAGGACACCCTGCCACTGTCCCTTCCGCACTGCCAGATGGCGCCACTGAGCTTCCAGTGGCCTGCCACGGGCACCACAGAGAAAGGGTCCCGGGAAAACATCCCGGTATCTCCCTTCCAGTCCACAGTCCACGTAAGTCACGAAAAAATAACCTCACAGGGAAATAAGCTCCGACCGTACCATCCCTAGCAGCCCTGCACATACTACATTTCCCGGAGAATCTGCATTATTGCTTTCCAAAGTGTATTACTGTCTTTCCTTCCTCGGACAACACTCAATATCCCTCAGATAATCCTCTTCACAACCACGAAAAGATTCATTAACTGGCTGCCACTCTACAAAAAAAGCAAAAAAACAGTGTCAATCTTAGAATATTTTGCACACTGCCACGGCATGTATGCTGAACGTTTCTGTGCTAAATTTCTTCTGTTACGTTTTACAGGAATGTGTGTCTAGAAAACTAGAGAGTGCAAATAAACTGTACTGCTGGCTGCTGTCTCCAACAAAGAGTTTAAGGAGGCGAACAAGTTTCCTGCAGCTGTAACTCAGTGCACAGACCTTTTCATGATTCAGTTTTCTGGTACTGCAATCTGCATTTCTTTCTCTAAAAACTGACTTCTCACATTTGGTTTAGGTCAATATCCTACTAATTCGTAAAGTAAAAGCCAAGCTGTGTTCTGGGGGAAGTGTTTGTATTCTGTTCCTCTTCAGTTCTTTGGCTGGAGCTGAAGTTGCTGGTGGACCTGGAGGAGGACGTTAACACCCGCACACACCTCCGTGGGATCCAATTGTGCACACATCATGACGGGAAGGATTTATGGATGCTGCACTTCATAAAAAGCCGCTTTACGTGGGCTTTATGTATGGCTCAGCCTTGGAGGTCGGCGCCCTTGCAGCTTCTCAATGGAAGCACTCACTGAATAAGGACACAGACAGGACGCACACACAATGGCCCCACGAGTCTCGGCAGGGCTGCAGATCTCCATGGCCTGGTGGGCCCACAATGTCACCAAGCGCTGTGCCACTCCCGTGGCTGTGGTGACGTGGTGCGAAGAGACCTGTGTGACGGCTGGTCCGGTGAGAGGACAATGCACAGGGCTGGGTGTGGCTCGGGCCGTGCAGTGTCTGCGCAGGTGCAGCGGAACCTGGGCGCAGCAAACGCAGCTGTGCTGGATGCCACGCCTCTTCTCTGGTGGTCCCAGGACTGGGCCCAGGGCCTCACACTTGATGGGAAGCACTGCACCCTGGGCTGCACCTCCAGCCCAGAGCTCTTGCTGCGGACAACGCTTGAGCATCCTGGTGCACGCTCTGTGCTCCCGAGGGTTGTTTCCAAGTGTGCCCCTCCTACTTGCGTAAAGCAGTTTCCTGGGGACCCTGTGCCGCATCCCATGCATCCCGAGGGCACCCAGGGCCGGTGCCCAGGGACCGACCCATCCATGAGGCCTGGGGAGGCCCAGCCACGCTGCCGACACACGCTGTGCTCACCAGAATGCACCCCGTCTTTGGCGTGTGGCTGTGCCACCAGCGCCCAATCAAGGCTTCCTGCCCACTGCTGCTGCATTTGGAAGCAAACCTGAAAACCTACTCATTAAAAACAGTACTTGTGAGTACGCCTGGAAGCCACGCTCCCACCGAGGCGCCAGCCCACTGGCCACGTTGCCTCTGCGTCAGGCACACGAGTGTCAGGACCTTGAGACCTGCTGGAAAGGGACTTGAATGCCCCCAGCGCACGGAGAACTCAGCAGGTAATAACTCTGCCATCATGACAGGAAGGGAATATTTAGGGTTCAAAAGAATGCTTTTGCACAGAATAGTATTGTGTTAAAACCACAGTTTTAAAATATAGTACTGCACCGATGGCTTCAGGACCTCAGTCCTCCCTGTAGCAATACGCAGTCATTTCTGCCACGTAGGACGGGACAATGGGCAAACCGCAGCTCCCAGGCCCAATCCGGCCACCGCCTGTTTGCGAAGTTGTATTGTCACGCCGTTCGCGTGAACGCTGTCCCCACTGAAGGCACACTGAGTGGCTAGCAGAGGGGACACCCAGCCCGCAGAGCCAACATTATTTGCCCCTGGTCCTTATGCAAGTCTGCCAATCCCTGCTCTAACTGAAACCCAGAGAGCTGAAACGATAAAAAGTACTTGGGTAAAATGAGGATTAGAGTAATACCAAGCAGGTCTTTGGGGTCGGTTTGTTTTGCCCACACTTATACCAAAGCTGAGGGAAGCATCCTGGGGTGAGCCTGGGTGCCCAGCTTACCAGAAGGTCTGCTTGGCCGTCTGGATGACGTTGGCCGACATCTCCACGTCTATGTAGTCATAGTGCAGGGCGCCCGGGTCAGTGGACGACCCCGTCTCCGCCAGCAGGATCCCGATCCACCTGCCCATGTCTTCTGAAGAGGAGGCCTGTGAGGGGAGAGGCGTCTGCTTAACTGGAGACCCAGAGTTTTGCTTTGGAAGAGGCCAGGGACCATGCCAGGAGAGGCGGTGGGAGACACAGGTGTGACGTAGGCCCCGGCTGGCCAAGCGGCGGGTTCCAGTGGGTGCAGGAGCAGCAAAGCCAAGGGCAGAGCCCAGACAGCTCGGACGCTTGGGCTGCCGGTGGCTCTGATGGCTGGGACAGCGCACCCCGAACGCACTGCCCACAGGTGACCACTGCCGGGGTCACCAGGCTGCCCCGCAAGGTGATCTGCTTCCCTTGCAAATCTAAAATACATCGCTAGAGCCAGGCAAGGTGGCATATGCCTGTAATTCCAGCACTCGGGAAGCTGAGGCAGGAGGATTGCTGCGAGTTCAAGACCAGTCTGGGCTACATAGTGAGTTCCAGGTCAGTCTCAACCACATAGTGAGACCCTGTCTCAAACCCCCCGGCCAAAAAAACAAAAACATCACTAGGGTTATCGGCACTGGGATTTAAGCTACCCTGGTGAGGGGACTTGGAAAATCAGGGCTGTTACATTGTATCCAAATTGGTCCAAATACATGTGACGAATCAAAATGTCAACAGTGTTTCAAGTGCAGGGGACACTGAGCCATCTGACGTATGAAGAGACAATGTGGAGGGGAAAATAAATTTTATTTTTGTAAAAATTATAAATCTTTATCACTGTAGTTTTGTGGTATAGTTTCAAGTAGGGGACTGTGATACCCTCTGCCTTGTTTTTGTTGCCTAGAATTGCTTTTGCTATTCTAGGTCTCTTCCGGTTCCAAATGAACTTTTAGATTGTGTTCTCAAGGTCTGTGAAGGATGCTGCTGGGATTTCAACTGGGATTGCACTGAATCTATGTAGCAGTTTAGGAAGTGTGGCCATTTTCACTGTGTTGATTCTTCCTACCCAGGGGCAAGGGATGACTTTCCATCTTCTGATATCCTCTTCGGCCTCTTTAATCAGAGTGCTGTAGTACTGAATAGATCTCTGGTGTGAGAAACTGAAGATGTGAATAAGGATCAAAACGTGTAATAGATAATGTGAAAGGGGAAGGGCAATGGGGGAGGGGGAGGAACACGAAGGAGGAAAAGGAAAAGTATGAGAAAAGGCAAAGATGGAAGCAAAGCTGCAAACAGGAAGGGACGGAGGGGCTGAAGGGCGTTCAGGGGAATGGGGAAAATAAGAAGCAAGATGGATTATGTAAAGGTACAAACTGAAAATAATGAATGTCAGTATAGTGTATACCTAAATGCACCGATAAAATTAATGAATAAAAAATTATAAATTTTTGTTATTGTTGTTTGTTTCTTGAGACAGGGTCTCACTATGTAGCCCAGGCTGGCTTCAAACTTGTAGCAATCCTCCTGCCTCAGCCCCCCAAGTGCTAGGATTACAGGTGCGTGCCACCACGCCCGGCAAAACTTACACATTTTTAAAATAAAGAAATATAGGTAGAGCTTTAAGGCTTAAGGAGAATTGGGTTTATGATTATAGTCTACACCCGGGAGAGCCATGAGCTAAGAAGCTCCCTTTGGAATGCTGGTAACACTGGCTGGGGCTGGTATTTCCCACCTGACCAACACCTGAGCAGGGCCGGCACCGCACAGTGGGCGGGGCCACAACCTGCAGGGTCACAGCGGGTCAGCGTCTGCCACACTCAGCGGAACTGAGGCGAACACAAGCACTTTCCTCACAGCTGCGTCCTCTTCACAGGTGTGTGGTCCTTTCCGCAGGAGAAATCTCTGCCAGGAATGGGCCGAGGCCCGGGGCCCAGCGTGTGCCCAGCCTGCACGCAGCCTGGCTCCATCCCCAGCGACACAGGAGACCCTCGCCTGTGTCTCCAGCTGCCTCACGCACGCATCTTTGGAAGTACTGAGCACAACCTCGAAGGAGGGAGGGCGCCACTGTGCCAGAGTCGCCTGCTGTCTTCCTCACGGTTCCTCACAGCTTCTGAGAAGCAGCCCTGCGATGGGATCAGCGACCACCTCGGCACGTGTGGTTGCGAGTAACACGGAAACTCGGCGGTGGGCAGGGGTGCGGGTGTGTGCAGTGACTCACAAACAGAAACGGGCATGAACACGTGTGCCTCACACATGTGCACGCACACGCTGCTTATTTCCTGGACGCGTCCACCGAGAAGGCCTGAGGCAGTGATGGCCCAGGCAGTGCGCCCGGCCTGCCCAGCTCAGAGTGTGCTGTGGCACTGTGTGCCCTGGGGCAGGGAGGGGCCCGGAGGGGCCTGGAACATGCAAACTGTCTGGAGATTGCCAGGGACACAGCAGGGGCCACGGGGGCCAGCTGCAAAGGAACCTGATGGGAAAGGACCACACTAACGGAGGGTTAGGGTGCACGGCTAATGAGGTGGGAGGCGTCCTCAGCGCAGCGTTAACAACAGACGCAGAAGGGACAGCGGTCCTAGGGTCACCCTGGGCGCTGTGCTCACAGGGACTGTTCCGGACGTCCTGGGCGTCCCTAGTGGTGAGATCCTGGTGTCAGCAGCAGAGGACCTTCCTGCACGTGCCTGTTAAAGGGGACCACAGCAACCAGAGGGTCCGAGCTAACGCTGCCAGGATGGAGATACACGGACACCCCCGCACCTGACGGAGCTGGAAACAACGCCATTTCCCCAGGATTCCTGCTGAGGGCCTTCCAGGTTCCAACACCAGCAAACAGCACCCGTACCCATGAGGAACTAGTCTGTGCCTGGGAAAGTGTCAGGGGCAAGAAACCAGACAGGCAGGGGAGGTGAAAGACATCTGGTGGCCAGGGGCAACACGTGAGAATGGGCTTCCTTGTGCTCGTAAAGGGCAGGGCTGGAACAAACTGAGAAGTCTGAACTAGGTAAAGGAACCAGGGAAGGGCAGGGTGGCCTTGGCTTCTGCTCTTCCCTCCAGCAATGACGTGGGGTGTCTGGGGATACAGGGAGGCATCATGGAAGATTCTGGAAGATTCTGGAATGTTTTTACATCATATGCAGGGACCGAGGGGCGGGCAAGGGACCAAACTTGGGAAAATGTCACTGTTGGGGACCCCGGGTGAAGGGTGTACAGGCTTACTTTTTACTACTCCTGTAACATCTGTCACTCTGGAATACCTCAAAACAAAGGTGAAATGGTTTTAGAAGTACTGACTACAACTTCCGGCTGGCTCTCTGAATTTTGGTACTAATCAGGGAAGACCTCTGCGCTCATCATAAGGTGCTGTGGATTTTCTTGGTTCCTGTCACTTTTAGCTCAGCTGTCTTTCCGAGTAACGCTGGTTAGCTCCAGATCCTACCATCACTCAGGGAACCAAATCCGCCCTCTGTCACTCTAGGGGACTCAGCTCCTCTGGGTGCCATGACCGTCCCACTGGGTGGGCCTGGCCCTGTGCTCCATGGAGCCTTGCCTTCCCAGGCTGCTCTCCTGCACACCCCACCGTGTGCCCCAACCTAGTCCACCTCCGCCTCTGGCCCCTCTCCTGGAGTCCCTGCAAGGCCTTATAACACAGGGCTAGGCCACCCACCCCACACTTCCCAGACCACATAAATGTCTACCGTGGACACCGACTGCAGCCCGCTGTGGGTGCGGTACACAAGGACAAAGAAGCCAAAGGACCCCACTGTGACCAGGGCAGGGCAGCTCCCGAGGGGTCCCCAGGGGGCTCCTTCTTCAGGAGTGCACAGCTGCACAGCGGCCACTAGGGGGCGCAGTCCTCCCGAGGGGCGTGGGCGTCAGCCCTGGAGGAAGAAGCCCCTCTGTTCTTCACCCCCTGGGATTCACAGCTCCCAGGCACCTCGGACATGAAGCCCTGGGAGCTGTGGGTCCCGTTGCCAGCAAACGCAAGGGGAAGCGAAGCACAAGGAGCCCCGCAAACCTGACGGGCAGGGTGTGACCGGCCGCGGCACTGCTGGCACTGCTCAGGAAGACAGGACAGGAGGAAACCAGACGGGAGGCCGGGCCGAACCACTGCCGTGGGCGGGGGAAGCAGGACGTGGCTGGGCAGGGAAGACACCGCCAGGCCCGTGGGGAGCAGCCGTGACGTCCGTACCTCGAGCACGGCCACCTCCTGCCCATTGCGGAGCAGCCGGAAGGTCAGGGGGTGCCTGGAGTCCAAGCCCGGGATCACCTCGCAGCCGCGGAGCGGGATGGAGGCGATGTGGGTCTTCAGGTCGGCCCTGTCCTTGTGGAAGACGAGCTTGTTGTCCTTCCCCCTGCACCAGCGCTCCCGCCAGCGGTTGTTGGACAGCACGTTCAGGTAGCCTGCAAGGCGACGGATGCGGTCAGCCCTGGCCTCCGGGAGGGCCCTGCGCCGGAAAGCGGCGCACACAGCAGTCCCGCCGCGCCAGTTCACCGGGCCCTTCCCTCTCCCTACAGAGAGGCCACGTCCAGAGGCCGTGTCCCTGCGCTCCGAGCGTGCCAGGTGCCTTGTGTGCGCAGTCTGAGCGTGCGTGGGGACGGGACATTGCCGTCCGGGGCGAAAGGGGACTCGGCAACCGCGTGGACCGATTCTGAGAAGCCGCAATGCTGCTAAGTACACACCAGTCGTGGCAGGGTGGATTTTGGCCTAAGGTGAGGGGAAAAACATCTGAAAATGGAAGCTTTGCAAGAAATAGGCGGCTGAGGGGGCAGGGGTAAAGGCGCCACCCTGGGGGTGACCCAGCAAAAGAGGAGACCTCGATCTGAGCTCCCGCCCAGAGGCCAAGGAGCCCCCGCAGCCTCACGCTGCATCTCCGCACCAACAGGAGGTCGTGCCCACCGGCACGGGCCGGGCACAGTGCCCTCGGGGACAGCAGAGACATTGCCACGAGGGACGGAACTGAAGAACCATCCCACTTATAAAAGGAACGCCTCAAATTCAGGAAATGGGAAATCCTCAGGTGTCACAAGCACAAAATGTGTGTTCTGAAAATAAGTTGAGAAATGGGCAGACGGGGTGGCTGCGAGTGCCAAACACGCCGCGCGCCCAGAGCTCAGCTGCCTCCGCGTAGACCAGAAGGGAGCCGAACGTGCACGGGACATGACGGACGGAAACAAGGATTTCCCACCCACCTCGTTCACGCACACATGCGTGTGCACGCCGGCACTCGGGGACACACAGCTAAGAAATGCTAAGAAAAGCAAGCAAAATCCTTTTCCAAAGGGAGTGGGAGAGCACTTTTTAGACTCTCACGTGCCAAGTCTTACACACTTTAGGGCAGTTGGGAACACTATAAAAACAAAAGAAAATGGCACGTTCCGCACCCAGAATGTGGCTTTATCTACACTTATAAGTGCTTGCAAGACATTTGCCCAATACAGCTACACGGCACAGAGTCCAGGTCTCTGGCCGAGCGCGCCAGGGGGAAGGACGACCGTGGAGACACAAGCCGGACTGCAGGGGCCAGGACCGCACCTTCTGGTGCACAGAACTGGGTCAGGTCCACCAGGGTCCTCGAGTGCCCCACACAGTTGGGGGCGACTGCAGGGACGGGGATCAGAAAGGCCTGTGGGAGGCAGTGGGAGCCACTTGGTACAGCCAGACCTGATGCCACTGGGCACCAAAGGAGGGAGGAAGAGCCATCCGCGAATGCAGCTATGGGCCTCGCGGACGGTCTTCCCCCAGGCAGGTAAGGTTACCATTCCTGCTTACATGCGGGGAGTGTGTCCTGGCGCCTGAACACCTGGACTTCGGTGTTTGCTGTCTGTGGCTCTGACGTAGTCCACAGTAACTGGTCACACGGAAAGCCCATATGGGGACGTTCATGAACTGACTGCCCCTGTGTGGAGTCTGAGTTCTGTCTCCTGGCACAAGCTGGCACATGGTACGGTGTTTCTAAGAAGAACCAAGAGGCCAGGTCCCCTGCGGAACCCAGACCACACAGGTGCTAGGTTCCCGCACACACAGAGAGCGACTGTCAGGCAGCAGTGAGGGCCGTGGGGCCACTGTGGCACAGCCCGAGGGCCTGGAGGGGAAGGATGCAGAGGGGCCAGAGACAGAGACCCTTCAAAGACCGAAGGACAGGGATCCCGGGACACAGGGGGACTGGAGGCTGGCTGTGAGGCTGAAGGGGACCCAGACTGAGCACAGGGCAGAGTGGCTCCCTGTCTGTCTGGGGACTGCTGCTGTGGAGAAGGAACAGTGCTCCCTAGGAAATCCGCATGACTCCAACATGGGGGTCCCCTGAGGACACTGCCTGCTCCAGCGCACACCCCTCCAGGGCAGGGGCAGTGGGCACGATGCATTGCCCGCCACCGTGAAAGTACACACTCTGGCCGCGTGTCTGTGCCTCCTGGATGGGGTGCGGCCCAGGGTCCTGGGGCTGTAAATTTCCCGACAGTGCAGCCACAAAAGGAAAGACTGTATGTGAAAGAGCACCCTGTGTCCAGAGCGTGACTTCACGGGACATTACCACAGTCCAGGGCCTTCTGTGGGTTTATTTGCCACCAGGGTCCACGAGCTGCAGGTGTTCAACCAGGTGGCCGCGTCTGGGGCCTGCGGCCCTGCAGAGCCAGGGGCTGTGGCTTTGGGGTTGGGTTTGGGGTTTTTGATCCTCTTTCCATTGTGGTAGGGTATCACTGTGTCTTTAGAATGGGAAACTTCAGCTCAATGGTTTGAGATTATTTCTCCAGATTCTAAAGCAGGAAATCTTTTTCAGCACCATGGCAGGGGTGTATGAGAAGGCTTCATCAGAACTATGAATAACTTTACATGCCAGGCACGGTGCACACACTTATAATCTCAGCACTCTGGGAGGCTGATGCAGGAGAGTCCGAAGTTCAAACCGAGCCTGGGCCACTTCGTGACTTAGAGAGACCCTGTCTCCTAAAATAAAACCTCTGGGAATGTAGCTCAGTATGGAGGCCCTGAGTTCCATTCCCAGTAACCGCCCCCCCCATTTAATTCATGGGCACAAACTACATTAAAAGTATAGGCTGCGGGGCAGACAAACCCTCCAACAGTAGATGTCCCCGAGCCTGGCGTCTCTGGTCCCAGGGCTGATGGCTCTGGAATTCAGGCAGCTGCAGGGGAAAGGCAGGGAACGGGACGGGGACCCATGCGAGAGGGACCCTGGGACTAAAACGTGGGCAGGAGCGTGGTCAGGACTCATTTGTAACTGGCTGGGAGAGGCTGGGCCCACGGGTTGTCCAGGAAGCAGCAGGCGTGTTACCGAGTGCCCGGGCACAGCCCACAGCACCGCCTCCCAGGCTGGCACGGGCATGCAGGGGTGCAGACACCGGACATGGGCGCTGAGCCTTGGACAGCACCCCCTTCAGGCAGCTGACGCCTGACTGTGGGGAGGTGGCTGGGACCCCAAGTGACTGTAACTTCCCCAAATGTCCATGAAGTCCCCTCTTGGGGACTCACTCCAACAGGGCACAGCACACGGCTCAGTGCCAGCCCAGCCTGCAGGCAGCCACCAGCTGGTCTCTGAGGGCGCCTTCAACCACAAGCCCGGCACCACAGTCCGGGCTCGAGGCTCCACGGTGTCCACGGGAGCTGAGCATCACAGTCGGCTGCAGCCACAGCCCCCTGCGATGGCTGAGTGGGCGTGAAAACACGCCGGTCTTCCCTGGCACGGCGCTCCTGGGCCCTGGGCCCTCACCTGGCCGCACCTCACCTCCGCAGTCTGTGCCTCCCCCTACCCAGGGCTCCTCCCAGCCGAGGCTCACGGGGCGGAACACGGGTCACCTGAGGACGGCACACCGTGGGGAGGCCATGAGCACAGGTCTGAGGGCTCCCAAGGAAAACCCCACGCCTTGGACAGCGCTCCAGAGAAAGAGCGACAGGGGTCGGGGAGGGAGGAGAGTAGGGACAGATGGCAGGAGTCATGGCCTCAGCCCTCAGGGACCCTGGACACAATCATGTTTGGAAAAAGGCACAGGGCAACAGGTGTGGCTCAGAGTCAGCACCTGCCTAGCATGAGGGAGACCCTGGGCTCCATTCCATCCCCGTCAAGAAACCAAGTTGAACACCCATCCTGTATAGTTTCCAGCTTTCCTCCTTAAGAGCAGCCAGTGAGCTTCTAAACCTGGTGCTGAGAAATACAGGAAACCTCAGCCCTTCCTGGAGGCTGCCCAGGCTGACTCAGGAGCCAGGACACCGAGCTGCCTCTGGCTCCCTCAGTTACCGACCAAGGTAGGATGAGTGTTGGTTCTGCAACTCCCTGCCCTGCACCTATCCAGACAGGCCCAGGGAGGGCAGGGCCCTTCTGGTCACAGCTGGCACCACGAGCTCCACACGACCCGGGACACACAGCTGCCAGGATCAGAGGGTGGCAGAGAGGCCCAGTGGCTGTGCCCGGCTGAAACTGAACTTTGGAGCTGTAATCGTGGGGGAGGCTCAGGTCTACACTGCAGGCCCAGGGCGCTCTGTCTCCGTCCACAGCTCTGCCGCCCTCGGTCCCTCCTCCTCACTAATGCCCCACTGTCCTGCTCCTGGGGCACCACAGAGACACTGGGAAAGCCTCCGCCCGGGCTCGTTCACCTGGAGAAGCTGGGGAAACCGCTCACTAGAGCAGAAAGCCTGCACCGCCCAGGCCCCGGCTGAGGCTGGCTGGCTCACCGCAGGTGGGCACGTCCTCCTCGGCGGATGAGGTCTGCTCGTCGGTGGATGGCTTCTTCTTCCCCAGACCGATGATCTTGGTGATCTTCTTCCCAGTGACTTTGGACACTGTGACTTTGGCCTCCGCTTTGGAGTTCTTCTTCCTCTTCACTGTCAACAACAATACTAAATGTTAAACAAGAAAATAAACCATCTACACCACGCATCCTTGCTGCTGGTCCTGGGGGAGCCCTCCGGGTGAGGAGGACCTGCTGCTGCGAAGCCCGCAATCTAGGGGCAGAGGAAGGGGTGCGGCCACAGCCCAGCCTGCAGGGGTGTCTGCAGCAAGTGGGGTGCTGGGTCCTCCCCACCCATCTGCTGTGCCCTGCCCGGCCCACTCTCAGACCCGCACTGCGCAAAGTGCCGTGCTCAGTTAGGAACCGAAGCCCAATACATGAACCCACAAAGCCTGTGCAGGAAGGGTTCTGGCTTCCCTTGAAAATGGAGGGCGGGTGGGCCTGGATGTGTTCAGGGGTGGACGCCACCAAGGCACGGAGCCCGAGGGGACTGCAGCAGCTGCCGGGGCCCGCTCAGAGCAGCTCCATCTCCCACTGGGTCCCCGCCACAGCCCTGACACTCAGCTCCTCCCCTCCCGCCGTCATCTGTGACCCCGGGGGCCCAGGCAAGGAATCAGTGAGGCGCACACAGGCCTGCAGGTAGAGGGTAGCTCCGGAAGAGGGAGGTGGCCCCCATCCCTGCCCAGATGGCCGAGTGCCACCCCGCCCTGCCCAGCACAGCGCCCTTAACTCCCAGGTATCACACGACTTTTAGGGTTTGCTGAGGAGCGAAGTGCATGCACACCGCGGGGAACGCCTCCGAGACCCACCGGGATGTGCCCAGACCCCTGTGAGCACTCGCTCATGCCCTGCCCCATCCGCACTCCACCTCTGCGGCCACCCGCCAGCCCTCAGGGGCACCAGCTGTGCCCCAGCTGGGCCTGGCCTCCAGGGCCTCAGGTCTGCTCTGTCTCTGCCCCGGGACAGCTGATGGGCCCGCCATGCCCAAGGGAGGCCAGAGCGAGGGAAGGAGCACACCAGTTATAGGGGAGACCTACAATCACAGACCGGATGTGCCCCTGGGGCTACACTTGGAGATGGGCCCCCAGGGAAGTGGGGTGCGATGGGCTCCCCGTGGGTTAGTGTCCTGGTAAGAGGAGGCCGTGTGCACAGAGGCCTAGGTGAGGCCACTGCAGCCGGGAGCAGTGGCCCCGCTGGAAACCAGCCCTGCCGCACCTCTGAGAAGACGGCAGCTGGAGATGGGCATCCTTGGCTCACCGGGGCCTGTGGTATCCTGCTCCGGCAGCCTGAGCTGACTACTATGACACAGTCCTAGCAATGGTCTGCTATTTTACATGAAAAGATTAGGCCCTCGCGTACTCTCAGGAATGATGCCAACAGCAGCCCCACGCTCTTCTGTGGTTTTGCGCACACCGGAAAGCACCGAGGACGTTCAGCGCCCAGCTGGAAGGCACAGCCCTGTCCCCATCAGATGGCATCTAGGGCAGGGCCAGCTCTGTCCTCTGATGCTGCCCCATCCCCAACAGGGGGCACCTGTGGCGGCCACACCCCTGCTGCAAAGCACCTGCAGGCCCCCTTCCACCTCCGCCCCATCCAGCTAAGCTCTGCCCAGCTCTGTGGGCGAGGACAGCAGTGCCCAGCCAGCACCCTTGCCTTGCATGGCACCCCATCACACCGGTGGCCCCGGGCTGGGCTGTGCGGTCTCCTCCCGGCTCTACTGCGCTGGGCTCAGGAGAAAAAGAAGAAACTCGGAGCCCCCAGCAGACTGCGCCAGGCAGGGGACGGCGGAAGCGTCCAAGGCCCTGGGCCGGGTGGGCACAGGAGTGACAGAGACAGGTGAGGCAAAGCAAGCTCCGCTCAGTTTAGAAAGCCAGAAACATCACAGTCCTGTCCAGAAACGGGCATCTGTAGGAGGCCTTCCTACACAGTGGGACGGGGGAGAGTGGGGGACAGCTCTGGTCCCGACTCAACACACCGCCCACAGGCCCCAGCGGAGCAAGGGGTGCCACCACTCCCACGGGGCCAGGCCAGCCCCCGCTCGTCACCCAGGCATCGGTGGACATTTGCTTACTGCTCCACCCGGAAGGGTTGGCTGGGTGATGTGTGTGTGCACATGCCCATGTGCGTACTGTAGGGACTGGGCCGGGGCCCTCACACCGAGCTATATCCCAGGCCTTTTATTTATTTCTTTATTTTTGAGTCTCACTAAGTTGCTATGTTGCCCAGGCTGAACTTGAACTTGTGATCCTCCTGCCTCAGCCTCCCACAGTGCCCGGAATGCTTGTGTGTGTCTCCAAGCCTGGCTCACACTGCACCGGTGTCTCGAACCCGAGGGATCACACCTCAGAGGAAGAAGCAGGAGTCTCAGAGCCACAGTCCTGGCTCTGGCCACAGCAGTGTGGACTCTGGGGCCAGCAGAGAGCCACATCTGCCGAGCTGAAATCCCTCCACGGCGGGCAGCCAGGAGTGAGATGAGACGGGAGGGGACGACGGCCCTGCGTCACCAGGCTCCTCGCGGGACTTCAGTGCCTGCCACAGCGAAGCACCACGCCAGGCGGAAGGCCACGCCCGGGCCACGCTGGGGTCCACGCCGAGGACAGAGGCTGCCCTGGCCAGTTACAAACACGAGGGTGTCATACACTGGCGTATTCACCTGCACGTGGAGGGGACAGATCCGCCACGCCACAGGCCCATTCACACAGGAGCCGTGGGGAAAGGGAGAATGGCGAAGGGCCGGGGCAGCCGGGTCCTCACACGTCATCGGCACAGCAGGGGCAGGCGTAGCGCGCGCCTGTTGACCCAGCGCTTGGAGGCTGAGGTGGGAGGGTGGCTTGAACCCACCAGTTTGAGACCAGCCCGGGACTGCATCTCAAAACCAAACCAAACAAAAAAAATGAAAACAAACAAAACCAGTGAAGCAGGACTATGGAGAGGTTATTTTGCTTCGGGGGAAAACTTAAAGATAGCCTTGCGGGTTTGGGCTGCACGTAATTAGTGTCCCGTGGAAGACACAGATGATAATGTCTGACTGACAGCTTCCGGCAGACAGGACTAAAACTATACTCAGACCAAGCTGGAAAACCACGCACGGGGGAGCAGACAGCCTGACCTTCCAGAGTGACCCCACTGCTGGGGGCACGGGAGGACTTCACGCTCTCCTGCTACCCGCAAGGGTGGTGGCCCGGGGCTGGATCAGCCACTCGGCAGCGGCTAAGGGCACAGGTCCTCGGAGCACAGCGGCCCAGCTTCCTCCACCACCCGCAGGTCACAGCCCTCGCCTGGGAATTGAACGTCCAGCCGCGCCCTGGGTTCCCACCTCCTTACCCAGAGCTCTCTTCCTGGAAATCAGGCCGAGAAGGGTGCTGGCCACCTCCGTGGTCCCTCGGGGGGAAGCACCCAGGCGCTGTGCGCTCTCCAAGCACAAGAGCAGACCGCGGCCCGGGCTGCCCTCACAGCCGCCACGCACCTGCGCAGGGGCTCACCTTGCTCCTTCCCGTTGCAGGTGACTCCGTTCTCCAAGGCCCCCTCCCCGTCCGAGCTGGGTCTCTCTGAAGACAGCTTCTGCAAGCACACAAAGGCAGGGTGACTCCCGCAGGCCGCCTGGGGGCGGGGCAGATCACCCTGCACGTGAAGGGAACACCGGCCCAAGCCGCAGTGCCACGCCCAGAACTGGGCTCTCCGTTCCTCCACAGCCTGGTGGTGAGGCTGTGACCAAAGCCACAGAAACACCCAAAACAAAGAAAACCAACTGGCTGTGAGTATCACTCCAACAACAGACAGGACCACATCCACTTTCTTACAAACGATTCTGAGAACATGTTAGGATTACAGAAAAATCCCTCATGGAGCCTTATCATCCTTGCTTAAGTTAACATCCATCCATCATCCGCTTAATTTCCTCCTGCCCCTCACTGATACAGGGTGAGTGTCCAGTACCCGCTTGGGGCGCTCAGAATGAGGGACAGGTCCCTACCTCCTTGAAGGCGGCAGGGTCCCCGGCACTTCTGCCCTGTGCCTGGATTTAATGGGCACAATTAGGACTCCGGCAGGTGACGGAGATACTGCCTAGCAGCTGGCTCCTTCGGCCCTACCTACAGCCTCAAGCGTGCCCCTCGGATCCTCACTCTGGAGCCCATAAGAAAGAAGGAAATGAGCACTTGCTATCCGGGACAGGGGGATGCACAAGCTCCGCCCACAAGGCGGGGCCAAGCGGGGCCAGGCAGGGGAGACCAAGGAGGAGACAGGAGCCTCTGACCCTGCGAGATGAGCAGTCAAAGAGCCCAGGTGTGGAGGGCACCTGCTAGTAATGCGGCCTCAGAAACCAAAATCCGGGAAGGCGAAGAGCCTGTCCTGACTGGGGTGTGGGAAAAGAGCTCCACGCACTGCGGCCAGAAATGAAACCAGGCTGAGCCTTTACAACAGCAACCTGATTAACGACATGAGCCAAATTGGAGAAAACAAAATGAAACAGGTCTATCCTTTGGTCTACGACTTCAGCTCTGAGGAAAATCTTCTTGGGCAATAGGCAGAGATGCCAGAAAGATTTATGCGAAAAATGTCTACTATGGGGTCATTCTAAAAGCTCAACTAAGAACGACATAATGGGGTGGGGGCCAGACAAGTACCTGTGAGCAGTCAGGTGAATGTCACACTGCTGTGGAAAATGCAAAAATGTTTGCTGCTTGTGATGACATGGGAAAGAAGCAGCATAAGGAATTTTATTGTGTAAAATTAACCAAAATATAAGAGCAAGTCAGGAACAGGAAAAGGCTGGTTAGCAGCATGGAGGGCATTGAAGAGGGGTACCCTCTATGGGACAGACCTATGAGGGACTTTTCACCCTGTCTGTGTTTCCCCAAACTTTCTGCATTTTCAAAGAGCAGAAATTCATTTTATCGCCAGGGAGGAAAAACGTTGTCCCTATCACAACATCAGATGGTGAATTCTGTGTGTGAGCTTTGGAGGTGTTTCTAGACCAGGATTCTGGGCATGGCCCCTCTCGGTGTGGGCGGGCCTCCTCCAATCAGGTGAAGGCCTTAATAAAAGAACAGGAAGACCCGCCTCTTGGGGGAAGGAATTGTCCAGCAGAGGCTCTCGGGACTTCCGGGTTTCTGTCCCTGCCCACACTGCAGATGTGGATTCGCACCTGCTGTGACTGTGAGCCAACTCTTTAGAATAGTCTCCTCCCCTCCCCACTCATGTCCATCGGGCCTGCTTCTTGGGGGAGCTCTGAGATGAACACAAAGATGCATGAAAAAGGATCTGTTTGTCCCCTGGCTGGGGGCTGCAGAGAGAGGCCTTGGAAAGTTCCTGGGACACAGCTGCCAGCAGAAGACACCATGGCAGAAAGCCACAGGTCTCCATGGAAACGGCATTGGCTGTGTACAAAGCACAGGCACACGGCACATGGTACTGTCACACCAGGTGCCACGCACTCTGGCAAGGAAGGGCGAGCAGAGGACAGGCCGCCAGTGTGTCCAGAGAGCGGGCTCCTCTGCCTTCCGGGACGGTGAGGACCATCCAAGGCCAGAGCCAGGCCCGGCCTGCTGGGAGCAAGTGCTGGGAGGCTGGTGTAGGAAGAGACTCTGGGCCTGAGGAGCCAGCCCCACACTTGGCCTTCTTCCTGCAGTGGGCGACCGGCCCCAGACGCCCCACACCTGCAAGCCTGCGTCCTCCCCTGCTGCTGGGAAGAGCCACATGAACCACGGCCTAAACAACGGCCACCCAAGGAGGCATTTCAGCAGACAGGAAGCAGGGCTGCAGTGTTTTCACCCAGAAGTGCTGAGTTCTCTGGGAGTGCTGTTAAAACTCTGACTTTGAATGCTCTGACACAACGGAGGTGATGAGCTTCCGGGTGGTGGCATGCGAGTGCCCTGACTGGCTCAGCACCACAGCGCATTAACAGGTCATGCTGTGCCCCACAAGAACGTACCACTGCCGTGTGCACCTCCGCCAACCGTAAAATCCATTTCCAAAGCTCAGAACCCTTTACGAGCGAGCCCCGGCCCGCCACAGGGTCCCACCGGTGGAAGTCCCGCCTGTTACCTTCTCCAGCTCTGCCTTCTGCAGCGGGGCGCTGGCCGGGGGTGGGCACTCCGGCTCCGCTGGGCCACTGCAGCCGCTGTAGGCCTCCTTGATCACCTGCGGGGGCAGAAACACAGACTGAGTCCTCCGGAGGCAGAGCGGGCACAGGAGAGCCAGACCAGGGAGGGTGAACTGGCATACGGGGTGCAGGGGCTCCACGGGTCGGAGGCCCCGGCACGTGAACAGTTGGGGATCATTCATCCTTTTGCTCAGCACCCCCCACACAGTGGGTAACAGCGCCTTCCAGGTCCCTGCTCTTGTGGCACCACGTGGGTCTCGCCAGAAACAATGTGGCAGCTTGAAGGGCTGCAAAGGAAAAGGTGGTGCTCCCCCAAGAGGAGAGCGGCTTCCTAATCAGACCAAGAGACCTGGAGCCCTTCTTGGGTGATTCGTGCTGGAGCTGGGTACAAAGGCTCTGGCCTTGTGCCCAACACAAAAGGGGACAGAGGGGACAGCTGGTGCAGAGGCCCAGCGGTGGGTGGGAGGAGCTTGCAGAGACCCCTAGCACGGTGGTCTGAGGGCTTCTGTCCCTGTAAACGTCACGCTCAGGTGACTCCCCGGGCAAGAGCGGGAAGCCGGGCAGTTAGCACACGGTTGGACAGGCGGGTTCCGTCTGCACCCATGGGAGCAAAGCCCTGGAGAAGCGCTGAGGGTTCTGTCTGTCTCTTTTTTGCCCTTCCAACATGCAGGCAAGGTGACAAGACACCGTCCATGAAGAAGGGAGCAAGCCTTCCAAGTCCCCAATCGCCTAGGCCTTGACCTTAGACTTCCCAGCTCTAGAATTGTGAGAAGCGAGCTCGCGTTATTGAGAAACTACCCGCAGCAATCAGGCACGGGAACACTTAAATGCTTAACACAGCACACACTTGATGATCAGAGGCCTGGAGACAGCTCCGTGGTTGTTGCGGAAGACAGAACTACGCAGGAGCAAAAGAAAAGAGGGCAGGGAAAGCAGGCACGTGCAGCAGCTGAGAAGAGAGGATGCTGAGGAGGAGAAGATGGACGCAGAGGTGTCGAGGAAGCAGCGGCAGGTGTGGCGGGGTCAGATCCGCCCGACGCCCGGCTTCTGTCCTCAGCACCTGGGTGAAGTTGTGCGGGCAGATGCAGGAGACGAGGAATCAGGCTGGGGGAGAGGGCCGAGCAGGGCAGATCTCCTGTAGCAGCTGGAGATAAAGCAAGGGCTACGGGTCTGAGGGCAGCACCCATGGCTGCGGCCGTGCCGGGTCGGCCAGGGGAGACCCAGGCCCCACCTCCCTTGGCCCTGGAGGGTGGGCAAAGGGGAGAAAGCGACGAGACGGACAGGGTCAGTGGCTGGGTGCGGATGCAGGGAAGAGGGGAGATGGGAGGAGGGAAGCGGGGCAGCCCTGGGAAAAGTTTCTGCCTAAGGAGCGCAGAGGGCTCGGTCGGGGATGTGACCGCAGCAAAGGGCAGACACCGGGAGGGACTTTCCCTGCACGTACGTAAGGCTTCACCACTGGGACAGCAGGCGGGTGTGGGGGCAGAGAGGCCCCTGTGTTGGGTCCCCGGCCGGCCAGCTGGTTCCTCAGCTCCTCCCTGTGCCGCCTGGGAGGAAAGGATCTCAGCTCTCTGGGACTAGTCTCCCCGCTAGCAAAGGCAGGAGTCACGCGATCCATCTTGCAGAAAGGGCCACAAGAAAGAGAGGCCCAAGGGCAACACACCTGGGCCAGCACCTGGCATGGACACCCTCAGCGCGGGTGCCACGACGACCACGGGCACCAATACCACCCACGCCAAGAGCCCCGAAAGCCAGAGTGGACCCCCACGCTACACGGCCACCCCCACTGGTCACCGCTCGCTCCTCCATCACCGTGGAGCTGGCAGAGGCACAGGCTGGGCCGGTCGTGGGGACACACAGCGCAGGGGGCAGACGAGGCCCCAGCGCCCGGAGCTGACACTGTCTTCCCCGCACAGTCATTTCAGAACGCTGTCTACTCTTCCTGGAGCCAGGCTGTAGCTGAGTCAAACCCGAGCTCCTGGCCGAAGCCCCAGACCCCTGAGCAGCCCGGCAGCCCGATCTTGGGGGCGCCAAGTTCACTGGCGCTGGGATCCACCCAAGAACCAACGAGGCCAGATCGTGTTTCCAGCCATTTCGCAGCTCAGCTGTGTCACGGAAAAGCAACAGAGCGGTGTCTACAACTGGGATCCTGGGGGGAAGCCAAGAAAGGACGCAGACGAGGGTCTCCTGACAGCGGCTTCCTCCTTGTGAATCCTCAGGTGCAAAAGCCTGACACACGTGACACTGTCCTGCCTGGTGGCCGGTGCCGTCCCAGGGCAGAGGCTGGCGTCTCCCTTGCTGTCAGCCACTTCCGTTTGACCCCACTTAGTGTGCCCCTCCCAGGCCCCACAGTGACTGCATCTTCAGTGAACGGCGCCCAGTTTGCTTGAGGACAAGACTTTGTCCTTTCCCTAGGGAGCAGCAGGACAGCATGGAGGCCCCGGCCTCGGTGCCCAGCTTCGCCCAGGACGAGCTCACCAGCTCCGCACAGGCTCCCCACACATGCAAGGCCTCTGGGGGTACACGTGGGGATCCCTGGACGAGGCGCGCATTCCTTGGGAACTGAAGACTCAGGCTGCATCTCACACCTGCAGCCAGTAAGCCCTGGCCTCCTGCTGCGTCTCCAAAGACAGGGACACACGTGTGAGGACAGTCAGGTGGCCAGCCTGTGACCAGGGGACCGAAGGGCCAGTGGGGAAGTGAGGTCACCCTTGGGGGGCTTGGGACCCCGGCCCCTTCCTGTCTCTCTTTTCTGGCTTCCTGGCTGGCAAGTAGCCTTCTGCACCCCACGCCCCTGCCATGGCACGCTGCCTCGGCCCAGGCCCACAGCAACAGGGCCCCTGACCACAGCCACAGAGCAGAAGCTCTGGACCTGAGAGCAGAACGAGCCTCTCCCCCTTAGAAGCTTTGCCTGGGGTGTTGTGTCACAGAGACAGAGTTGGCTCACACACATGGCCACCCACACGGCACACGCTCAGACAACCAGGGCTGCCCGGTGTGGACAGCTGGCAAGGAAAGGGCTGTGCCTCAGCCACACTGCGCTGACTGCCACAGCAGAGGCCACAACCGCCTGCGTCTGTGGCCTCCACACCCGCTAACACCGACTAAACCGAGCGAAGACCAGGGGGCCAGGGAGCCAGCCAGACTTGAGATTCACCCCGAGGAGGAAATGAACCCACGAAAGATGTCACGAGAGAAACGAGGCCATCAGTAAAATAAGCGCCCTTGTGACAAAGCTCCCCAGCCTTCTTGGAAATCTGCACAAGGATAAAAGCGCCACCGCTGCACAGCCCGGCTCTCTCCAGGATTCAACTCAGGGCCCTGCAGAGGGGTCTGCGTCACCCACAGTGCGTGGGAAGGAGAGGAGCAGCGGGAACTCAGGCCAGGGGCATGGACAGCCCACCGGCACCACGAGGCTCGGAGCAGTAGCAGTGCAGTACGAGGACACAGAGTGAGCCTGGAAGGCAGTGTCCCCAGGGGCGGGCCGGGGTGTCACACAAAGTCCCTCTGCCCCATCTCATCTCACCTGAGGCACCTGCAGGGAACTCGGAAGGAAGGGGTGCAGGCTCGCTACTCGGCCCTGCAGGCTCCTCACGCTCACACAGTTCTGCTTACGAAGCACATTCAAGGAGAAGGTCCCTGCGCATCTGAGAGCTCTGCGTCCAAATCCCGAGGCATGGCTCCTCCAGAACACAAACTGCTATGTGCTCTGTGGTATTTCTGTTTGCTTTTACGCGAGCCCTCCTCTCCAGAAACATAGCCTCTGCCTCGTTTTAAAGGAAACCTGACCCCTGCACTTCTGGGAATTTCTGCTCCTTGTCTTCTGTTCGACCTCTGCATGACATGACGACTCACGCTTACGGTGCATGTGAGCACACACGCACAGGCACACACGCACAGTCGCACAGTCAGCTTGCAAGCACTGCTGGTGCCGGGGAAGCAGGGACGGGAAACGAGCTTAGGGTGCAGCTCCTGAAGAGCTGCGTGCCACGTCGGGGGCTGCTCAGTGCCGTCTTCCGGGTCACGGACTTGACCAAAGTCCGCATTTCTTATTAAGGAGTTTTAATTGTTTCATTAAAGCTGCGTTTCAAACTATCAAAAGCCCGAATCTGCAGTCTAGAGCCAAAGGGCAACAGCAGATCATGCTATCAAAACAGCTGGCATTTGTGTTAAGAAAAGATGGTTTTCCTGTTGGAGAATCACTGGGGATTGTGCAGGGAATTAAAAGGGTGAAGTGAACCATACCAAACTTTCATGGTTTAGCCCTTTATAACAGTTCCAAGGGTGCACTGAGGTCATCTTTTGTTCTACCTTTCTGATGACCCTGACAAGCATTCTTTCCCCCACGGACGGACAGGAAGCGGTGCTGGAGCCAAGCACCGCAGATGGAGGCACCCTCACCCGCCCGCCTCTGCCACACCTGCCACCCAGGTGGGGCCGTTTCCTTCAGGGCTCTAGTTCTCTATTTACAAAAAAAAGGGACGAAATCTATCTTGATCGTAAAGGTGAGGCCTCTGAGAGGGGAGACAGAAAGCCACGGCGGCCCTGACTTACTCCCGTCAAACAATCATTACAAAGTCTGAGTTTATTTTGGAAAAACAAACAAATAAATGAGCGAGGACAGAAGATCGGCACATGACAGTCCCTGGCTGTGGACGACAAAGATGCACAAGCCAGAGCAGCAAACAATGCCAAACATGGGTCCTCGGCTCCGGGCAGGGCCCTTCCCAGGCTCGCTCTCCGAGCAGAGCCTCACACACGTGTGTGCGTCTCTGACGACTCACCTGAAGTCTCCGAGTGCCTCAGAGTTAAAACAGAGGTTTTCAAACACAAACGATCTTCTAAAGTCGTCGAGTGTTTAGTCAGCGATGTGTTCCCAAATACACCATTGGCCAAAGGAGAAACAGCAATTAGAAACCAAAGGATACTAGAGGCAAACAACAAAGGGTGTGGCCAGGGCTACGCGTATAGAAAACATAGTTTAAATGCATCTATAAGAACAAAAGATTTATCTCCTTTCCCATAATTTCCTACTAGTTTGCTCTTCAATTTACATTTTCGGCTTCTCGTATCAGAAAAAGCATTCAATATTTAGGCCCGTATGATTGGCTGGATTTTCACGAAATTATGTGAGACTGCCCCCCTCAAACCCTGTTACAATCTCGGCACGTCACCTTCGTGACGGGGAAAAACAGGAGAAAGAGGAAAAAATTAAAAACTCTGCTAACACTGCTGGCCACGGCGATACCCTGATGGTAGGACAGAAACAGAACCCGCATCGGAGGATAAACGCTGAAGCCTTCGCGCGGCATCAGACACTGGGAATTTAGCCCACGGATGGAGAGCGTGGCATGAACGCTGTGCGCGTGCCTGGAGTGGCTACCGTGCAGTCCGCAGGTCGTGTGGACAGACGGAGGCCGGGCCCACGAGCGGGAGTCGTCTGAAACTCCAGCACACTCCACGAAGAGGCGCTGTGTGCTGGAACAGAGAAGAGAAGGAGAGAGCTCTGCTCTCGGAGGGGCAAAATCCTGAGACACTTTGTTCAGGTAAAAAACCCGGAGCGGGCGCTGAGGGCAATTCAGCCGGCCCTGCTGTTGCTTGCACAGGCGCAGACACATCCAAAATAAAGACAGCTCCCTGCACCGCTGGCCAAAGTGTAACGCACAGCCCTGCGAGGCACTGGGCGAGCGCTCGTGACGCTGCCAGGGTGCACATCCTCAGCTCAGCAGCGCCTGTCCCCGAGAGGCCGGGCCACGTGGGCCGTGGGACACACGCACAGGGTGCACCTGGCTTCGTGTCCAGCCGACAGCAAGGAAATGTGCCAAGGACAGGTGTGAGGCCTGCCGGCTGATGGAAGCCCCCCGGGGTCCACAGAGCCGGAAGGCACTGCACAGGAAAGTTTAGACCTGAGAGGGTGTGCGTTCATGGCACACAGTGCACAAGCGGAAGCATTGTTTAAAATAACCACATTCTGGGTAAAAGTTTCCTTTGAGGGTGAAGAGAGCGTTAGACAGAGGAGGCACATTTCGGGCCCAGGTGCAGCACTTTTGAACCTCACAGAGACAAAGGTACAACATCAGAAGAGAAAATCTTCGTCCCCGAGTGCATCCGACCCATTTAGCATGACTGCTTTCATCGCGTCCTGTAAACGGCCTGGGTGGATGAGAAGTGTTGCCTCGATGTCTTACACTGAGATCCTGACCCTGGGGCGGTGGTGTTAGGAGGCCGGCCTCTGGGAGGTGAAATCTGTGAGCCCCGAGCCACGCCCACAACGTGGGACACAGGGAGAAGATCGAGGAGACTCCTGAGGAGAGAGCAGCCCTCAGACCTGAGTTGCAGGAACCCTGACCTTGGAGTCCAGCCTTGAAAATGAGAACAAGTTTTGTGGTTTACAGGCCCCCAGTCAGAGCTCTGCGAGTAGACGAGGATGACTCCCACGACCAACGGGAAGAACGCAACGAACAAAACAAATGCAACAGCGCATTAGAAACAGGCAAAGGGAGGAACGGTGAACTGGAAGACAGCAAGAAAAAAATAAGCCAGACTAAAGAAAAGGCAGTGAACACAGAGGGCAAGAACCAGGACTGTGCAAAGACTTCCTGAAGAAAACAGCTGGGAATTCTTCCTAAAACACAGAAAGATGGCAGTCCAGAAGCCCACAACCCCAGGCAGAATAAACCATGAAAGATCCTCGCGCAGACAATAAAGTGAAACTACACGGAAAGTCCTGCAGGCAGCCTGCAAGTGGGGGGCAGAGCCTCGCTCGGAAGGGGCGGGGACGCAGGATCCGGGTCACCCGGGGCCCAGGTAGAAGGTCAGCAGTGCAGTGCCCAGCCCCGCCTACCTTCAGCCACTGCTCCGCCTGCTCCTTGCTCTGCACCGCCAGCACCAGCGGGTCTGTGCCCTGCTGTGTGATCTTCAACTCGTGCTTCTTCTTCTTGCTGTCCTTCGGGATGTACGTGATGCTGCAGCCCTGCAGCGGCAGCTCCATCTGCGGCTGCTGGTCCTTGGAACTTTTGTAGCACTGTGACCAACACAACAGGCAGGTGCACATGTGAGCAGGTCTGGACGGGCCCAGAAGACCCCTGCGGTAAGTGCTCCAGTGCGGCCGTCCTGGGACCCACCGGACAGTGGGACCACACACATGGCTTCCGCGCTGCCCTGGCACGGAGCCGCCAGGATGCGATTCAGCGGGAAGCAAAGCTCCCCTTCCACCGGAGCGCCCTCAGCAAACTCCAGGAGTCCGCAGGCAAATAAAAGCACGGAAAACCTACTTGCAATGGCGGGAATAATACAGCGCATAAAGAGCACAGTTCCAGTGTTCCAGCCACACAGTCCAACGGGGGACACAGGGGAACAAGTGAGGACCACTCAGCCACACTCGTGGCACCTGCTGTGTCATCCGCACGCGCCTCCTTGCAGGCAGAGGTGTGGTCTCATCAGGAGCACAGAGCCGAGGGCCCGGTGGACGGACGGGTCACAGCCTTGCTTCCCGACACCCTACTGCTCGGGGGCACTGCTGTGTCCACTCTGAGACGTTCCCGGACCAGCTCACGGTTGAGACCGGCTGGCTGGGGTCCCGCTTCCCTGGTACCCACAGAACAGAATCAAACCTCCGCCACAGCCTCCGCCCTGCTCTTTGGGGAGCTGCACTACCCGGGGCCAGAAGCACCTCTGGGCAGAAAGGCATCCGGGTCCTCGCTCCAGCACTAACCTAATCCGGGTCCCAGGAAGTTCCTTTTCTGAGCCCACTTCCTCAATGATAAAATGTGTTTTGCTCTTCTTGTCACTTAAATCACCTGCAGTTCTCGGTCACATACCATCTGTTACCGCCCTCCTGCTTCACTGCTGTGAATGTTCGCCACTTCCCAGATTTTCCACACTTTGAACAGCAGGGGGAAAGGTGACAGGAGCCGCAGCGCTGTGGCAGGGGCGGGAAGGGGACTTCGTCACAGCTGCTCCTGCCCGGCGAGTTACGTGGGTCACAGGGCTCGAGTTCTTAGCAAAACCACAAGTGCCACGTGCAGAGCCAGGCGTCCGGGCCCAGGAAAGCTGCCCCAAGGACAGGCCAGCATTGGGGGAGGAAGAGGCCGGCAGAGAAGCCGGCAGAGAGGCTGGAGCAGCACAGCTGAGCCAAGGCTCAGGGAACCCTCGCCCTTGGGAGGGGTGGGGTGGAGGTGACACCAGCCCTGGTGCAGGGACCTGGGCGGAGGGCCTCTCACCACACTGGGCTCAACAGCAAGTGCTTCGTGCTGACGGTGACACGGTGTCACCTGGTACAGAGATGAACAGGTCCACAGAGGGCTCAGTCGGTCCCGCGGGACCCCGAGGACAAGGGTTTGCTTCTGCTTGTAGCTTTCCGACCTTCAAGTCTGGAAAGTACTTGCTTTATCGCTGCTGACTTCTTCATTGTCAACAGAGATCACCTGGGTAGTTCGATCTTCAATTACTTTTCAATTTTTAAAAAGCTTCATAACAGAAATAAATAACTAGATAGGGCCTATCAAAGACAGGGCCTGGCCGGGGATTTAGCTTAGTGGTTTTGCCGCCTGCCTTGCAAGCCCAAGGCCCTGAGTTTGATCCCCGGTACCAAAAAAAAAGAAAGACAGGGCCTGCCCTAGTTTTCCATGAACTTCTTCCGTATTTGCAGTGGGGGCGGTTGTCCTCTCGCTGTGGAGGGGAGACTTACAGGAGAGGCACAAAAGGCACAGGAGGAGGCGACAGGGAGAGAGGCCCGGAGACCTACACCCCAAACCACAGCCGCAAGACGGCCACACTGCAGAGCCTCAGTTAAATAAGAACTGACGGCCTAGCCAGGCATGACGGTCTACACTGTGACCCACGCCGAGGAGGCCAAAGCAGGAGGTTTCTAAGGTACAAGGCCAGCTCAGGCAATAAAACAAGAGTGTCTCAAAAAAAAAAAAAAAATTCTCTAAAGGCTGGAGATGTAGCTCCGCACAAAGCCTAGGGCTTGACCCCAACGAGCCTGGAGGGGGAAAGAGTTGTGTATTTTTAAAATCTTTATGTAATGTAGCCACATCTTGCAGCTATTAGGCCAGATGATAAATAAGGACCATATTAGTCTCTCTCTTTTCTTCATGCTTTAAAATTCCCTATGGCATCATTTTTGGCATACTGTAAATTTGGGAGAAATTCAGGCCACACATGTGGAAAAAATATGTACTCTACAAAAATGGAAGAAAAACATTAATTTTAAAAGATAGTGTCCTAAGAATCTAGGAAAACAAAAACTCCTGTAATTCACACATAAAACTTGCTTTGCAAAAAAGCATTACCTTCTTCACTGAAATATGATGTTCAGAAACACAAATTCTCAGGTTTTCTGATTTAATGGCAGACTTTTGAGCGATTCCCCCCACCCCGGTTAATTTGAAAGAAAAACAAAAGGCAAAAAAAAAAAAAAACTGTACAGTTCACAACTCTAACTTCAACTAAGGTTTCTAGGGAGGAGG